CCCCAAAACCCCAAAACCCCAAGTGTTTGGCAACAATATTTATGGACTAAGTAAAATATTAAAATCTAATTGTCAATTGAATCTTATCCTCTACTGTCTCTTTACTGCAAGTTCTCTTAATCTTCTATCCTTTCTTTGGAGCTCTTCTAATCTCTCCTTTTCTCTAATTAAAAATTGATTAAAAGTATGATTACTGTTAAGCTTTATCAAGATCGCCCTCTCCGAAAGCAATTGAGTCTTCTCTATATCTGCAATCAGAAGGCAAGCATTTATCAATAGCTACTGGTCTTACTGTATCGCAAGTTTCCAATTCCCAATACAACTTGTCATCAAATCTTAGGAACTCAAGCCAAGATCCTTAAATTTTAGAGACCTCCTATCCCTATCCTTAGATTGTGCCTTCAATACAATCAATTGGAAGTGACTGCCTAGTAAAGAAACCTCCTTCTTTGCTAAACTCTAATTAAGCTCTTAGCTGATTCTTATTATCAACAAATTCAAATGACCCAAGCCAAGTTGTAGTTCTCTTTCCAAAAATAAGTCCAGATATTCTCATCACTGGGTATTCCCATTCAACGAACGAACCATCTTAGAATTTAACTCTATTTTTGCCGATTTATCTACCTGTCACTGAGTTACCTAAATCTGTTACCCTAGCGGTATACTCATAAGATCCCTCCAAAGTAAAGAGACCATCTATATTCTCAACTTAGAAACAAGAGATGGGAGGATGATGTGATACATGCTCTACATATAATCTAGAACCATCTGGCCATAGTCCCTCAAAGGTTTCTCCTACAATTGGATTAAATGGTTTTCTTTGGCTTGCAACTTAATGCATTCCACTGATAACAAATGTTATAACTTATTTCATTCTTTCTAGAGGATCTCCCAGAGCTTCAAGAGCAGCTTTCTTTAAAAAGATTGGACCAGTACACCATAAATCGCAGATTCTCTCTACAGTAGATCTCTTTTCGAAAATTCTGACTGGCAAACTTACAGCAACTATTCCTCTTCCTTCCATTAGCTTTTTACCAGCTGTCTAAAGAATCTCCATGAATATTCCGGATTATGAACTTAACTCATCTTGATTATGACACCACAAAGCACCAGTCTCTAACCTGAAGTAACCAGGGAACCTATCACTGATACCAATTCTCTAGCCAGGCCTAACAGAAATGTTCCTTGGATTTTCCTTTATCTTTTTTAATTATCCTCCAGCCTCTCCTATGATTCGAGCATTAACTGAGCCTCTGTATTATTATCTATTTTCATTAAAGAAGTCCCCCTAATTGGAAGAAATCGAATGAGTTCGACCCCCGAATTTAGCATCATCATCCAAGTCTGCCATTAAGAGTGGACCATCAAATATTTCCATGTTTTTATTCACTATTTATTACTATACATCCCTGGTCACTTGATAAACATGTCTAATTTGCCTTTCATTCAAGTATTTCTAGTACTGAGCTAGTGATGCTAATATTCCCATTCTCATTACCTTTATTTTGTCTTAAAGTAAACTATTCATTACGATTGATGGACCCTGCTCTCCATAATTGAAATCAGAAAAAAAGTAAACTATACATTTCTCTGATTTATTATTCTCAATTGGAACACATATGTAAGCCTCCATCACATTGTTTAAGACCTTGCCAGATTTACTTGATTAGGAATGAGATTTTCTGAGGACATAGAAATTTCCACTTTCATCCTAGCACCAATAAGTTAGCATTTTAACTGATCTTCTCTCTAGAAACTATCTTACAACATAGTCTGATGGTAGATCTAATGTTTCTTCAGTGTTCAATACATGCTTATCCTCATCTCTGTTTAACTCCTTCACTGTAATAGTCATAAAATCAAAGGAGTCTTGATGATTATCTTTATAGCACTTCAAAATCTCGTTTCCAATCTGCTCTGAATCTCCCTAGACCAAAGTTCTAGCCTTTAACATGCCATATTTTCTTTATAGTGTCAATATTCCATTAGAGCTCTTAAAATTCAATATCTAGATCAATATTCCTAAATAGAAATAGTCGATGTCAATTCCAAATACGCTCTTCAAAAAATAGAGGACTACCATCATTATGCCAAGTAGCTTTACCTAGGACATGATCTATTTTTTATCGATAATAAGACGATGGGATTTTGGATTGAGGGCGAAGATCTATACTCCATTTTATACAGTAACTGCTTCCCATGCTTAGTTGATAGGTTTCAACCCTTAATCTTCTTATATCATATCTTAAACTAGCTTCAGATACTAAGCCTATTCCTGAGTCAATTATCCCATGTCAAGTTTTGCACCAAGTTTACTTCTGTTGTAAAGTTTCTGTTTTCCGAGAGATTTGTGATTAATAGGGTTTTGCCTTTCATCAATTGATTCATTACTGAAATTGTCTGATCCTGGGGTAAAGTCTTGAGGAGATCTTTTAAACTTGCTAAGTCTAAGTGGCTGCTCAGGGGAGTTGTTTGAGTTCAAAAAACCACTTAGTGAATTAATGTTTTTGCTAAGACCCCCTGTCTCAGTTTTTCTTTTGACCTTTTAAATATCAAAAAAGTTGCCATCATCTTGAAGCAGCATATTCTCATCGAAATAGTCATCGTCTTTTTTCCATGGTCCACCATTAATGGCTCCACCCATTGAGTTAAATCGATCTTTTGGTCCGGTTTTATTGTTAAAACTAGCCTAAGCCATGTGAATTTTGTGTTTTGTACTTGCTGTAATAATAGCATCTCGCCATTCATTTGATTCTTCTTAAGAGTTGCAAGATAAAAAGTAAGTTTTTCCATTTGGCGGGGCTGTTTAAATAGAAAAAGAATGTTCTCTCTCTTTGATGAGAGTAATGTTACTTATAAGTGCATCAACAAGATGGATAGTTCCATTCGGCTTGACCTCTTCCTCATTCTAATAGTAAGTCAGATCCTGATTCAATTCTAATTGAAGTGATCACATTTATAGATATTATAGTTACCATCTAATACGAAGAATCTTAGATTCCAGCCATAGTTGATGGGTCCCTCGCCTAGTTTGTAGATGTTTCCAGATTTTAGCATTTCAAAAACAATCTTTCAAATTTAAAATTAAGAATTATTATAAACATCATAATTATTATATCAAGATTAATTTACTAATTATCAAAACCGAATCCATGAATCATTCCAAATCTTGATTTATTTTCTCATAAAAGAGCATATATGCGTTTTAATTGAGGACCTAGCGAGAATCAATATAGTTTAATTTCTCATCATCACAGCAAACCCAAGTGCTGTTATGACTTCTTTATTTATTAGTCTACCTTGCAATAGGGAATAATTTCTTGCATGCTATATAATGACCTCCATAAGCACTTCCAAAATGCTAAATAACAGCAGTTAGCTCATAGCTATTACTATTTGCAACATCACACTTATTTCTTTGCTAATGAAAATGTTAACCATGCATATATTAAATTACGATCTTAGATAAGTCAAGGATTTCCGGGTATTCTATATTGCCAGAATTTAAAATCATTTGACCAGTGACAGAGTAGCTGACTCTTTTCAAGTGAATGCATAAAATTTTCTATAGACTTCAATTAATCGAAATTACAGGTGCATTTGCAATTGAAAACTTTTTGGTAATCTTTGTCTTCAGCTTATCAATCTCTATAGCTGTTTTGTTCTTAGTTCTCAGTTTAAAGTTTCTCCATTCATTGACTGTTAAAAAGGTTGAAGCTTAGATTTTGCTTACCGAATATATCTTCATCCAAGTCATGGATTTTCTCTATCTTTTATAATTAATTTATTGCCTCTTGATATTCCAAATCATTACTCCTGCTGAAAGTTATATATAGAAATTGATTTACCTTTGGTTTATTGATTGATTAGCTAGGTACACTCTCAAACTGCACTTGATGCAGGTATAGTCTGCAATCTATTCACTTTTGAAGAATTGTTCAAGGGATTGATATATATTCTTTTTTACATCCACGCTGAGGTCGTAGAATACTTCCCATCTGTGTATGGCTTCATCAGGTCCGCAATTTACACACTATATTGTGCTCATATACACTCCAGCAAACGGATTTAGTCCTAATTTTTTGTTAGTACTTAACTCTTTGAATTGTAGCACACCTCTAAGCAATCTGCCCGATATAAACTTACTCAACTTTACATCGTCTTTCAATTGCATCAAATAGTTCTATCTGTCTTCTTCTTCTTTCTATCTAATTGGGCTATCTTCAAATATTGAACCATGCTTGACATCTTCAGAAATAAGCAAATTATCATCTATATCTGATTCCTTTTCGTTTAAGTCTTGACTTGACTTTGTGGAGACACTTATCAGATCAGGACATGCTAGACCTTCGTCATATGTCATATTCCTAAGATGCATTGCTGCTATTTTGGTTATCCTTTCTTGGAGATAAATTAGCAGTTCATGCGAATCCATCTACTCCGAATGAGTGGTGAAATTTTCACACATCATTTAATATAGATCGTCAGGGACAACTTCAGAGTTCCCTCTGCTTAAGTCCAATAGCAGTACAAGTAGCTTAAAAACAATAATAGAATCATTGTCTGAGTTTATAGGAGTAATGTTTTTCCAAAGTTTCCTAACATAGTCCATAAATAGCTTGCACCCTGTTAAAGCCTAGAGCAAGGAGTTCATGTAGCAAGTGTTTCCAATATTAGGAATACCTTAGGGCAGATAATATTTCTTAATCAATATATTTGTATAAATGGTATCATCCTCCGTCTCATTAGAAAAAATACCAGTAATACCCTAAAATTGATCATTGTAATCTTGGCACTTTATTTAATGATCATCTATTTCTTATCTAAACTTGCTTATTTCCTAACTTTTAGCAGTGAAGAATCCAAATAATTTGTATATGCCCAATGAAGTTAGAGAAATCAAGCCAAGACTAAGGAGTATTTAAGCTGTCTTTTAGTTATGCTTGAATATATTAATATTTACTTCCATTAATTTAATATTGTTTCAATAAAAATAAATATTAATTAAAACTATTCACTGCTTTGACTAGCTAAATGCTAATAAATAATTCACCTGTCACTTTTGAATCTAATAGCTTACTTATAATTTAGAATTTTTTCAAACATCTTTCCCTTTTTACCTTTATCCAACTTTGCTAGAGTCTTAATAAGTTCCTCTATATCCCTAGATTTGATCTTTGCTTTGTCAAAGAATGTGAACTCCACATACACAACATAATCATTTACTTTTACAATCTAATGAAAATTAAATCTCTAAACTTCTTACATTTATGTCCCCGTATGTACTAAATAAGATGCCTAAGGCGCTAAGATCTGCTTTATCGTTAAGTGACAGTTACATAACGCTAGACGCCATTTTCATCTCATTTTCCTTCTCTGCCTCTGTTAATTCTCCTTAGAAATGAAAGTATCTTGGAATATCTCGACTTAGCATTACTTTATTATGAAATTCCTCTAAATCTTCATAATAAACTGGTTTATTCTGCACCATGAAATAATGCTTGGGCCTTGAATTGTTATTCATCTCTACTTCGACAATTATTTCATCATTATCTTAAATTGAGTTTTATTTCTACAAGAGCTATTACTATTTTTTAGATAGTTTTTTATTAATTGGCTTTAATTCTTTTTCTTCTTCATCGAGTAAATCACTTAAATCAATGTCCTTTTCCTTATCAAAAACACTATGACTTGAAACTTTTCTAGATGGCTGTTAACGCTTTCCTTTCTGAATAATTTCTGGCTACTTTGACTTGTTCGACTTCATCACTTTATTATCTTCTTATTCATTTGTTTTCTATTTACTAGTTCCTTTTGCTTTCTTAGACGTATCAGTTTATTGAGATAGATTTGCCTATTAAGAAGGGAGAATTACTTTGCCTATTTCTATATACTTTGAAATTGCAATAAATATATAGCCAGTATTAAAGGCATCATAAGCTGCATCATGGTTTTGTCCATTCAAATCATCTGTGGTGTTTCCTGTGCCATTGGCATTATATACCCCAAATTTTGAGTCTTAATTCACATCTAATTCAATCACTACATTATTCTTAAAAGTTCTATCCTTTTTGCATTTTTAAAACAGATAAGCTAATTCTGATTTGCCAAATCTCTTAGTATACTCAGATAAAATTTTGGTATCATAAGTTGAGCAGAAATTTTAAAGCCATAGCTCTTTAAACTCGTTGAAGGTGCTAGGCAGATTATCTATAAATTAGTTGTAGATGTAGCATATATCAAACATCAAATTATGACCAATTAGAGGTTTCTTGCAGTCTATCATCAACTAGATAATTCTTGAGAAGCCTAGCTCTGCATTTAGAAGATCTTAGTAATCTTTTTCTATATCTTGCTCAGTTTTCTGAGCAGTATTCCAATAAGTATCTGCTTAAGCTTGCTAAGTTAGTTACTGTGAAAGTTGCGACATTATCTTTTATTCCTCAGTCAACTCAATTATTTTTTCTTTCTTCTGCATCTTTTACCTCTTGGACTTATCTTTCTATATAACTTCATCGTCCTAAAATCCAAGCACAACTTATGATAAGTCTTGACTATCAGCTACAGCCCCAACATCCCTTAGGAAATTCCTTTATTTGAAACCCCTGGTCTTTTTAATTATTGTTCTTGGCTTGTTTCTTTCAAATTCAGCAAAAACTCCTCTGCTTATATACTATTTTGTCAGTTCTCTAAATTTGGATTAGTAATTACGAACATACTTTGATAGTGCTTTTTACAAGCAGTAGGAGTCAATTTGGAACTCAAGAGTTTCTCCAGAGTTTGCTTCATAGACCCATTCTTCAATTTAAGCCATCATTTCTTGTAATTTCATCTGATGATTGATACTTAATAAACTTATCTGTCTTTAGCGTATCAGCAGATTCTAAGCTTTTTTCATGCATTTTTCCTTTATTTCTTCAAGTTTACTCAACTGAGAAAAGCTCTGAAAAGTTATTGAATTGATTAGATTTATTTACAATCGATTAGTTAAAAAGCTTATTAAAGTCAAATTAATTGTTCACAAGAAAGCTAATTGCACTTGCCTAAATTATAAGAATTGCCATCAGGATAAAGAAAATAAATGCAGAAAAGAGATATCTTACCTACATCATGTGAGAACATTCACCAATCTTCGATCTAGGATATACATAAAAGCAGAAAGGTCTACAAGTATACTTCTTGTCCTTCTCTATCCAGTGAAATGTACAAATTCCAACCTAGAATGCAAGATATTTTTGCACATTGTATTTTATCTTTTAGTATCTCTCTTCTACAGTGTCATAATCATGAGGTTTATCATCATCAGAGACTTAAAATCCTAGTTAAAAAATGATTTAGACTATAAGATTACCTGAAAACTCAGTATCAATAGCAATAAACTCTGCTGTTTAAATAGATTCCTTTATTAAAGGTAATCTTTGTTCAAAATTCTCAATAGTAATCTCCATATTCTTGGTATGCAAAGAGGCAATCGTTAAAATGTAAAATTTATATTTTGAGCGCCAAATCTCAATTAATATTTAATTATCTATTAAACGAATCAAAGATAGAAAATTATTTCCTCTGTTTTAAGGGAATGCAGATATTCGGGGTTTTGGGGTTTTGGGGTTTTGGGG